TCCTTTCCATTCAGCCCATCCTGCTCTACACTCCCTTCTTGCTGCTTTTATCAATAGCTCTCACACACTCTCCCTTTTCCGCTTTTATTTTGATGTTCTCTTCAAAAATAGCTCCCTCCCAGGATCTTGGGGTAGGGCTCCTACTCCATGCATGTACAATGCTCAGCACAATACAGCCCCAATCTGCAGATGATGATCAGCCTGCTCATCTCAGAGCCACGTGGGGATATTAATTCAGAAGTGATTATTCACTGTTAATCAGGACTAACTCCTGGAAATCCCAAAAAAGGAAGAATAAACCAGACAACTCCTTTGGAAAAAATAATCTCACTTTCTGAAAGTCAGGCAGAAGAGAAATAGATGAAAGGACAGCATGAATTCCCAAATTTCAAATCCCAAATTAATTCCTCAACAATGAATCCCTGAGGAGTGGCTGATTTCCACAATCCCTCAACCTTGCTTGTTATAATTCCAGCCAAGGATGATCTAACTGCTCTCTGCTTGGACAGTTAGGAATTTGAGACAGCATGTGAGATACCTCCTGTCCAAGCACCATCATCTGCTCAAAAATCACATGGGCCAGCAGTTCATTCATCCAACCAAAGCATCCTGTGATGCTGTGGTTCCAGAGAGCTGCCCAGGTGCAAGGGATGGCAGGATTCAGCCCTTTTACCTTCAGATAATTCAACAGCTGTGGTTCTGAGGATCAGAGCAGGCCCAAGAGCGAACAGCCCCTTGTCCCACCCTGCGTGTCCCCAGACCCAAAGGGAAGGAGAGGCTGCCTGCTCATCCCAGGGGGGATCTGCCACAGGCTCTGGCACAGGACTGGGTGGTTGTTTCTCACCGTTTAGTCTGGCTGCCTGGTTTATGAGACACTCCTTTCCTCTTCATCAGCTTCTCCACTGTATTGGGGTGGATTATTGGTCTGACTGGGTGGCGCTTGTAAGTCCCAGGGTATTTCTTTTCCACTGCTTGTTCCCTCCTGAAACATTGGGAAAAGAAAAAAGAAAAAAAACAAACCAAAACCAGATGAATTCTTTCTTTGTCCAAGTGCAGGTCCTGCCGGACCTGTTGGAACACAACTCCACAGTGAGCCATGGCTGGGTGCAACACAACATGCTGTGCTGGGAAAGGACACAGACATTTCTGAATTCCCTCTGCAGGGATCAGGCAGCTGGAACAGGGCCCTGGCACACAGTCCAGGAGCAGCACTGCTGTTCATTTTACAAAGGGCCCAAAGGATGCCAGCACCAAATGGAAAGGTGCCTTTCTCCCAGCCAGTACCCCCTGGGACAGACACAAGCACTAAGGGGTGTGCAGGAACCCACTCACAAAGGGCCTCTCTCTGCTTGCCAGCTCCTCCTTCACCCTCTGAGTTCGTCAGGGGACACTAAATCTACAAGTAGCACTACACAGTTTAGAAATGAAGCCTTGCTTTTGTTCTCCTGTGTGCAGACTGCCACGCCCGTGCCACCATTCCCAGAGACACCTACTTGATGAGCTCCTTCTCCCGGACCTCCAGCTGCAGCATAATAGCACTGAGCTCCATGTACAGGTTGTTGGCCCGCTCCAGCTTCCTCTCGTAGTGCTCACGGATATCTAATGCATGCCTGGAAAGCACAAAGGTCATTATTCCACTCTGGGGTCCACGGACCAAGAGAGGAAAAGTACAGGTGCTTTAGGAAAAGGCCTTCTAAAAGTCAAATTTGCCAGAAGAACTGCACTGAACCCCAGATAAAACTAACAGTAAAGGATGACTAAGAGCCTGATACAGCAATAAATCACTGTATGATTTAGGAAGTGTTTAATGGCCTTGAAAGAGTGGCAACACTTCTCCCTAGAGGAGCTGCAAATGCCTCACATGCACCCAGGAGCCCTTTGGCCGAGCCCTGATCATCCTGTTTGCACAGAAAAGGGGCAAAACCAGCTTCTGCAGGAATAGGGAACACTCATGTGTCTGTGTTCCACTAACAGCAGGGTGCCCCCACAGCTCCAGTACAGCTGCAGAAGACAAATGGAACCGCAGCCAGAAGATGTGACCAGGCAAAGCTCCCCTGGGCCAGGGGACACTTACCCACCACTGCATCAAACTGGCCAAGACTTGCCTTTGCTTTGACACAGAACTGCTACTTGGCGTTTTATGTTTCTCTGTCGTAACTATAGTTGCAAATTTGTGTCACAGGAGGTAACACTTTCCTTCTGAAATAAACATCCTGCTTTCATTTTTAAGTTGGTCTAATGCTCAAAATGGGTTTGGGCGGGCTGGTCAAATGCAGTGTGTTCACTCCTCTGCAATAACTAATGCAAGGAAAGCATCAGGGCAGGGAAAGCTCACAGAAAACTGCAAGAGGGATTTCCCAGGAAGATGGATGTACCTGCTCCAGTGCTGTTATCACGAACACCAAATCTCGGGCAGAAATATTCCCTGGTAAACACACAAGCCTTTGCCCATCCTGCCTGGAGCAAATCGTTGAGACTGCCCAAGGGCAGGGACAGTTCCCACTGTTTCTCTCCAGCTTCCCATCAACCAAGCAGCGCTCAAGCTCCAGGGCATGCACACAGGAACTTCAGTTTCTGTGCTCACAAGGGATTTAGGCTGCCCGAATTTATGCCACCAGGAATACTGCATCCTGTTTTGGGACCCTCATTACAAGAGAAGCAGGAAAACTCCAGTCAGGGCCTGGAGCACAGGCCCCAAGAGGACAAGCTGAGGGAGCTGGGCTCATTTAGCAGGAGAAGGGAATGCTGGGTGGGAAAAGTGAGCAGGAAACATAAAGGACCGTCAACAGACCTGAGCTCTTCTCTTCGGCGCCGAATCAATTCTTCATCCAACCGGTGGATACAAGTTCCTTCACTTTTAATTTTCTCAAAATGTTTCTTCACTTCTTCTCTCCATTCAGCCTAGGAAAGCAATTTATTTTTAGGTGTTTACAAAGAATTTGGATCCCTAGGTGCACAACAGAAGAACTCTTGGGCAATGTTCTTTGTGTAGAGCAGAAAATTACAGGTTTGGGTTGAAAATGTATTTCTGTTAGCTGAATTATTTTGGGTAACAACACTGTAGCATGTTTAGTGTCAGCATTTTCAAATGGTATTTAGAAGTTCGAGCTCTGATTAGAGAATTGAAAACATATCTGCATTTTCTAAAAAATACTTTGAAAAATTCCTAAAGCACTTCTGGTTCTAAGACAACATTTTGCTCCTTTTTTTTTCAGTTAAAGTAAGCACAAAGGCTTATGATTTGGAAAGTTCTCTTCATGATAATCACTGTCTAGGGTGATACTCTATTTGCCCATTGAAGCCCTGCTTCCTGCAGCTTTAATAAATGCCCCCATTTTCTCACATCTACCCCAACAGTTCTTCTTTACTAGAGGCAAGGTTTCATTCTCCTTCCCTCTTTGGGAACAGACAGTTTCTTGATGGGTAGGACTGGGAGGGATCTCTAAGATCATACTTTTAGATCTTTCCTGAAAAGTCCCAGAGTCCCTTTGCTGCCCTGTCCCAACTCCGTGTCCCACTTGCTGCCCCCACCTTCACTCTAAATGCAAAGGTTCTGCTCCCAGCAGCCTCATGGTCTCCTGCACAGCAGTGCTGGGAGAACAGCTGGAGCAGAGCAGCTGGAGTCAGCAGGCTCAGGGAGGGAGGGAGGCACCACTAAGCCAACAGATGCCTCAGCTTGGGAAGGTCTGGGTGAAAGATTTTCAAACACCCATCAGTTTGCTTCTCCCCAAGAATCAAACTGAAATCACGGATCCAGACTCCTGCCTCCAAAAATCAAATCCTTGGAGCTAACTGCAGTGCTCAGGGGCTCCAGCCCTTCCCCAGTTACCTGGGATTTGAAGTAGGTTTCCTGAGGAGTAGCCAGCACGTCGGCAGAGGCGATGTCCAGGTGCATCAGGGTCTGCCGGAAGGAGGGACGGTTCCGGGGCTTGCTCTGCCTGAGGGAAAACAGACACATCCCCAGGCAGGGGTGAGGTGAACACTGCCAGCCTCTCCTGCCCTTCTGAAAGGGCTCCACTAGAACTATTCTCTGAACTTGTGCAGATGACAGGCTAGAGCAGAGGAGCTTTTCTGGTTTTCTCTTTTGCTGAATACGAGTTTATTGTGCTAGAGCTGGGGTTTTTTTTTTTTGCTGAAGGAGTAAAAGAGGTGAAAAACATTTAAGACTACAAAGTGAAAGATAGGAACAGTTTCAGTTTGTATCCTGATTTGCTTGTCAAGAAGAAACATATGTTGGTCTGTTGTTCCATCAATTTCCAAGTTTTACACTGGGAATACTCAATCTAGCAGAAATGATAATTTACATTCAACAAAACAGGGTGTTTATAAGCACCAAAGGTATGTGAGCTGTCACACCATACATGCCTGAGCCCAGACAGTACTGTAATGCACTGAAAATCCCTGTAAGATCTCAGAAAAGTACAAAACCATATGTATTTTTGATAAAAAATACCTCACTCGAGTTTTAGGACTGAACCAGCCTCTTGCTCAGAACAAGAGCAGCTTCTTCAGCCTCCTCTCCCCTACAACCCCCCTCCTTCCACTAGGTGGGGACACAACTGTTTGTACGTCCTCGCTGTAGTACAGAGCTGCACCAGCTGCTCCTGCCCTCCACTGCCCCTGAACCGCCCTGCAGCTCAGGGTCGGGCACACAGCCCCTGGAAAAGATCCACACAGGCTCTGGCACGTTTTCCCCCTTGTGCCACGGAGAGGATGGCTGGTAAAACTCATGGAGTGGGAAAATGCTGGAAGAGCCTTTACACTCTTGTGTTGAGATGCAATTACAAGGACAAATCACTTAATTCATTCACCCAAGACAAAGAACTTCAGCTCTGTTCTGGTATGTGGAGGAAACTGAAAGCATTTTCCATATCTAGGCCTGTAAAATCTGTGTTCCAGACAGAAAGCTCAAATTTCTCTTTGTCCAGTCCCTTACAAGGGGTTTTCAGAGTGAAAAATCAGTTCCCTTCACTCTGGAGCCAGCCTCAAGGAATTTTACCCCTACTTCACTTCCAGCTCCTTTTCTCTTCCCACCTTTTATCCCCTTCTCTGCTACAACAAATCAAACCTCTCTTGAAGGCCACTGAGGATGCCCTTTGTGCTGCCTGCTCCTGATTCACACTGCACAGGTAACTCAGGGGTAACTGTCACCTGCTGGGGCTCCGTAAGGCTCTGCTCCCACTTCTCTCCTATATAACTCCTTCCTGCTCACCAGCCCATCTCCAGTGTCTGCCCATTCCCTCCCCTGCCCCATCTACTCAGCAAACCAGACAGGTCTCTCCCTACTTCCTCTAACCTCCAAACGTCCTTCTGGGGCCCAACCCCGCTGCCACAAGGAAGTAGAATCCAAAATATTAAAACTTACTGCTCTCAGGACAAGTGTGGGAGCATTTCAGAGCCCCCTGCTCTGGGCTCAACACTCCCACCCTGACGCTGGTTTTACTGGGAGTCTGGAGGGAGCTGGGAGCCAGCCCTAGGTCTGTGCTGTGCAGGGTTCAGGCTCTTACCAGGTTTGCTTCATGAGGATTTTGAAGCCATCTGGGCAGGTGGAAGGGACGGGAAGGTGAAGGCTGTTACTGCCCACTCCCCAGATGATGGCTGAGGAATCCACGTCCTTGTAGGGAATCTCTCCCGTAAGCAGCTCCCACAAAACTACCCCAAACGACCTGAAGAACAAATAAACCAGGATAAATTGAATTCATGCTCTGCAGCTTGAAAAGAACAGTTTGTTAGGCAAAAACAGGGAAATAGGGATGTCTGGTCTGAAATTGCAAGTAGGTGCAACAGTGGTTTTTAACACCCCAGGTGACTCTTCCTCCTCTGCCCCAGCACTAGGCTGAACACCAAACCACACTGGTTTTCACCCACCCTTTCCTATTTATTTGTGAGAATTTAAAAATCCTGAAAGCACATTTTCTGTACAGATCAAGTCTTAGTCCTGTTAAAAGAAAAGGAAAGTCTGCTTCTCTCAGATAGACTTTGGACTGTCCTGGTTGGCAAGAACAGATCATTGACTATTGCACAGACAGAACTGAGTGTCTTACAGAGACAACACAACAAAGGTTTAGTGGCTTTTCTTTTTATAACTGACATATTTTTCCCTAGCCAAAAGCTCCCTCTACTGTTACCTGTATGCCCAGGTAAGAGTTTCATAGGTTTGAAACTCGGCACTACAACTACTGCAACCACAGAAATTAGGAAACAAATGCCACATGCATAAGTGTCAGTACCAAAAGTACATGAGGTCTCACTGATATTTCCTTTGTGTTGAAGAAAGCAAGAAAAAAAATTAATTAAGAGAACTCAGTCTGGGAAAGAACCTCCTACAAGAACTGAAAGATGCAGGCAAGGAAACTCACTTTGTTTCTCTTTCTTAATGATGGGGAAGGACATAAACCTTAATTTATAACAGCCAAGTGTTATTTGATTTATTTACAATCTTCACCCAATAAAACACCAATGAAACACCAAACCAGTCGATAGAGAGGTAAACAAAATGCTGCTGAGAACCAACACCACTGTTACTGCACATCAACAACCAGGCTGTGACACAGGTGAGGTACAACCATCTCCATTTCCAACCCAGACGTGTCACCTTACTTACACCCCATCCCCCTGTGGGACACCAACCCTGCCAAGCCAGCAGGTCCAACCAGGTGAAAAGTGAGAAGGGTGTTTCTGTGTCTGGCTTGTACCAATATCCAGTTGCTTTTATTAAGTACAGAAAAACTTCTAAGGGACAAACTGCCAGGTCTGAACAACCATCAGCCAGGAAACAACTTCACGTGAAAAGCGTTGCACTTTCAAAGCCCATTGGCTTCAAATCATGTGGGGAAAAAAAAACCAAACAAAAAAAGCCAAGTTGGAACATTTTTTTCTCTTGAAATTTTTATCCATGTGCTGCAGGAAAGCAGGGATCCAGGTATTTGGACAAACTACAAGGAAAGCTCATCTGGTTTCAGCTTTGTTATGACTAAGAACTGACAAAGGATTTTCAAGACTCCTGATAAGATTATAGATTTATTTTTTAGCATGCTGTTAAAGATGAGAGAGAGCAGACATATAAGCAGCTTAGGAACTGTTCTCATTTGTTGCCAGCATCCATGAATATCGTTTTTAACTCGTCTTGGGGGAGGCACGGATGGCAAGGAGGAGTCGGAGCAATCACCACTGCTGTGGACTCAAGAGGACATTGTACCAAAGAGCAGCTCTCCAAGGTTGAGGGAAGGAGTAAAGGAGAGCCCACAGCTCAGCTGGTTGTATCAGACAGGATGCTCCACACAACATTCCTGAACCTAAACCCCTCTAAAGGACAGAAAGCTGAGGGTGGAAATCCAGCACCATTCCTCTTCATGATCCTGTGGTTCAAAGGGAGGAGCTCAGAAGACAAATGCTGAGCGTATTTTCTTTCCAAAACAAGCCCAGAGTTTCTCCCAGCAGGGCTGGCCGTGCTGTGGGCTGTACATCCACACCACCTGAGCAGGCAGAACACCACGTTCTGATGAACTGTGGGCTGTACATCCACACTAAATGAACATGCAGGACACTGTGGGCAGCAGAGCAGCTGCACACCACAGGTCACACCACAGGAAACCCTGCCCATCAGGTTAAGCCCAGCTCTGAGCTCAGACTGGAGCAGCAGGCAGGCTGCTGTCTGACTCCATCACCCCCAGAGCCACCCACGGCTTTGTCCTGCAGCTTCCTGCTGGGCCAAGGATGTGACAGCATCTGAAGCTGAAAAACCACAAGAAGGAAAATTCCTCCTGGCTGTAAAGCAGGGAGAAGGGCATTTGTCCTGGCTGCTGACATTTAATATGCAGAAATAATGAGGCAGAAACAGAGATGCAGTTCCCCTGAGGGCCCTGAAACCTGTGGAGAGGCTTCCCACAGGAGCTCCAAGGCTGAGCCCTCTCAAGCATTTTTAACAGCATGGAAACTGAACCTTTCCTTCTGTTCCTTTGGACACAAAGCATGTTTCACATGGGATGGAAACAGGTTTCAAAACTCTTAGAGCCTCTCCTGGTTTCCTCCCTTTTGGATCCAGGGTTAGAATCACTGGACTGTAATCCTGTGGCTGCTCATGTAACATCCAAGCCTGGTGTGCAGAAAGCACAAGGTGGTGGGGCAGAGGCCTCCCTACAGCTCCAGCATGGCCTGAGAGGGCAGAAAGCAATGGAAAACCACCCTGGCTGCAGAGGTTGCTGAGGGGGTCCTGAGCACTGGAAGAAAGCTCTAGGTTGAATAACAACACGGGCAGAACCTCTGCACCTGCTCCCTGCAGGACACGGGTTGCACTGGGCCTCATCAGGAACCTCCACACGTGTGTGTCATTCCCCTCTCCATTACAGCCCACAGGAACACAGCTCAGGGCACCAGGCAGAGGGAGAAAGGAACAGTCCACCCCAGAGCAAACCATCCCCAGGCACAGGACGAGGAAAGAATGTGGAAAGTGCTGGAAAACCAAGTGGTTAATCAGAAGGTGAAGATACTTAACCCTTAACTCCACTCACCAGATATCCACCTTCTCGGAGACGGGCTCGTTCCGTATCACCTCCGGGGCCATCCAAGCCACTGTTCCCGCAAAGGACATCTTGGTGCTTTTATCACTGAGCTCTTTAGATGTACCAAAATCTGAAATTTTCACTGCATCTGTGTGTGTAACTAAAACACTAGAGGGAAAAAAAAAAACAACAAACCAACCAACAAAGAAATCAGCATTTTATGACTTTTCATGTAGCACAACAGCCCCCGGGAATAAATCCCTTCTTAATCAACACGGCCAGTTGATGAGGCCATGCTGCTCACAACTGCAGTACAAGAGAAAAGATTATGTATTTTCACTGATGAAAGCTCTCACTCGCTTTGGGGTTGTGTTTTGTTCCTCAAATGCACTTCTGCATGCTACAAATCAAAAATCAATCCTGATAAAACTGCAAATTAACAAGTAACTGAGGATTCAGAGGCACCTCTGTACCTTAAACTGTGCTGTAAACCATCTAAAAGCATTATCTTAATGCACTGTCACAGGCTAAAAAAGTGATGAACATCTAGGGAGTAAGAACATAAGCAGCCAGAATGTTTTAGTCAGAAAGCAACAGAGAAATGAGAGACATGTTCCAGAAAAATCAGGAAAATAACGAGAGATTAAGAAGGAAAAATAAAAAGCACTTTCAAAAAGGACTGGATGCTATGAAATCACTAAGTATTTCCTGACTGCTATTTATCATGTATCAAGGTACTGGTAGCATTTCCAGACTTGTTAAACCACAGCACAGGAGGGGAGTGCCAACGAGTTTCAGTAGTTTCACTCTCATTAGTTTTGAGACAGTGTGGAAAAAGAATAGTAGAGCCTTTTGACCAAACTTCAAACTATCCCTCAAGAAAAAAACAGCACCAAAACTGGGGGATGTTTAAGCAGCTGAGACTCCCTTTGGTGACCTGAGGAACCCAAACTGGGGGATATTTAAGCAGCTGAAACTGGTGACCTGAGGAACCCAAACGGGGATGTTTAAGCAGCTGAGACTCACTTTGGTGACTTGAGGTCTCGATGGATGATTTTGTGAAGGTGCAGGTAGTTCATGCCACTGGCAATGCCCGTGGACCAGTCCACCAGCAGCCGAGGGGTGACCTTCCTGCCCGCCCGCAGGACCTCGTAGAGCTGCCCGTGGGCACAGTACTCCATGATGATGCAGTAGCACGGGGCTTGAGTGCAGACCCCCCTGCCAAAGAGAACTCGGTGAGGAGCTGCAGACACACAACTGGACAGCAAGGCTGGCTTGCCCAGAGAACCTGAGCGGAAGGCTCTTGCCTGGACAAAGGAACACCTGGAACAAGTCCCACCACCTACTTGAACGCGATGATGTTGGGGTGTTTGAGCTTCCTCAGGTGCTTGATATCCGTTTCGTTCTGATCCCTCACTTTCTTGATGGCCACCTCCTCCGCCCGGAATTTGCCCAGGAACACTGCTCCCTGTGCTCCGCTGCCCAGCCACTGCAGCTCCGAGATCTCCTCAAACGGCACCTCCCAGGTATCTGGCACAGGCAGAAAAACGGGATAACGGCCAAGACAAAGACCATGAAAATATTCTGCTGTAAGATCACGCCAGGGCAGCACCTGCCCTCTCCTACACCTTAGGGTGGACTTTTCTAGAGGTAGTAGGTGGCAGAAAGCAATGGAGGCACACACAGCACGTGCACAGCCCCAGCATCCCTTTCATCCACCCCAGTCACCTCCAGCCTGCTCATTCCCATCCTTCCTGCTGCTTTTCCAGAGCTCACCACCCTGCTAACCACTTGGGTGGGCCACTTTGACTTGGCAGGCAGGAACTGAACATGCCAGGGACCCTGGATTGGCAATTCTGGGAGGAGATCCTCTACCCCAACACTGAAGGAGGACAGTATCTCTTACAAAGTACATGACTCCATAGAAAAGCATAGATGAGAAAAAATGTTTAATATTCACAACTGACATAAAAAAATATTGAGGGTTTCCCTCCACCCAAATTGGGCACAAATAGGAAATAAAAGGGAAATGCAGAAGTGGCAGGTTGTAAAACACAGAGCAGCAACCACCAAGTCACCCAAATACACAAAGCACATCAACCACCACCAGCAGTGGCAGAAACGGGTCTTTCCCACACCAATGTTGTGTGTATCAATGTCAAACAGGCAAAACAAGCTTAAGCAACCCCTCCTCTTTGGGACCTACACACATTGGTAGAGACAGCCCTGGAGTGGTCCAGTGGCACTGTATAAACTGCTTCAGGAGAGCTGTACCCACCAGAACAGAAACCCTTGCTCTCTGTGAGTCACCCTGAAATTACCTTAAATCTCACAAACAGCAAGACAAAAGGCAGACAATTATTTATTTATTTATCGTGACTCAACAAATGTGTAAGTTTAGAGAGTAAATTATTTAGCAGAAAAAACAACCAGTAACCCACTGATTTCTGAAATAAAAGGAAGTCACACCTGCACAGAGCCCTGCTGGAGACTGCAAAGGTGTGCCTTTTTGTCTCATCCCTTTCCTGAGCCACCGGGGTATTCCCAGGGCTGCAGCTGGGATTATGCCAAAGTGCACATTTTTGATCCTGTCACTGAAGGGAGACATATCCCCAAACTGTCTGTGGGCTGATCCCAATGGGAACCTTTCCCTCTTTCATCCCTGTGTCAGTCAGACACTGGCTGGCTGTCTCCTGCCGAATGGCTCCCAGCTCCCCTCTGGAGCCAGACCCCAGCACTCCTTCTGCTCACTGAACTAGAAACAACAACAGTGTTCATCTACAGCAGAAATTCCCCCTGCCTTGGCAGGGCAAAGTTCAACCCTGGGCACACGTTCCCCCTCAGACACAAGGCTGTTTTCCACACTGATGGATCCGCTCACAGCCCAGAACTGTAATTGGAATTTAAGTCGTCAGACATCTAGATACTAAAAAGACTTTAAATAAAGAAAACAAATAAAACGAGAGCAGTCATAAATAAATTGAGAAGATCTGTATTTCTATTTAATTCACAAATTCACTGCTCCTGAAAGGAGGTGGCAAATACAGGTGATTTTTGTGTGTGTTGATGAACAGTGTTTTTATATGGGCAACACTGAAACAATTCCGTTGTACTGAAATAGCTGTTTCTTTCACAGAATCCTGGGGTGCTTTGGGTTGGAAGGGACCTTAAAGCACATCCAGTTCCACCCCCTGCCATGGGCAGGGACACCTTCCACTAGCCCAGGTTACTCCAAGCCCCATCCAACCTGGCCTTGGACACTTCCAGGGATGGAGCAGCCACAGCTTTGGGAATATCAAGAGGAACAAAGAGCCAAACCACATGTAACATACAGTGCAACAGTCAGACTCTTCTGGGCCTAAAGAAACTTGCCCTAAATAAATTAGAGTGTAATAGCAGCAGGAATTACGCAAGAACTTGCGTTTCTGAGGTGATTAAGAACCACTGGAGTAGAATGATGGGAATCTGTTTCCCATGGGGGAAGGAACGCAGGAGCAGCCCGAGCCATTGAGCCAATCTATTTGGAGGAAGTTTTTTCCAGCACTGGCTGCTGGCCAGCCTTGGCACTGTGACAAGAAGCATCTCTGGTTTACAGAAACCCCACCACCACAACCACCCTTGGATGGGCACCTTGCTCTCCAGGTACACACAGAAACCCTCACAGCGACAGTAAACATGTAACTTGTGAAGGGAAAGGTGAAAGCAACTCCTGGAGACAGATTCTTAATCCAAAGAAAATGGCTTGCAAGTCTAATGAGTCTGTAGGAAACACAAACAAGTCTTACTTTAAAGTGCTGGAGTCCCAACAATCCCAATTAAGTAACTGGTAGATGCAAATGAAAGAACTGACTGTATCTCCCTGAAAGCACTTACCAACAGCCTTTAGAAATCAGGGTAAGCAACTGGAAAAACAGTCAGGAGGGGTTTTATGGGTCTTTATGGGTCAAATACTTAAACCTCAGCTGGCACTGAACAACACAAAAGCAAACCCTCCCTGCAGGAAAGGCCCCTCACCAAGCAGTGCTGGCACTGCTCAGTCCACCAGCCTGCAGCAGCTCCCAGAGTGGGTTCTTAAGGGAAGCATGGAAACCCACTCCTCTTGATGACCACCCTGGATATTGGGAAGGACATTCAAGGAGTGTTTTCAACAAGAAAATAACGTGGAATCATGTAAAAGTTGTTCTTATCTTTCCCCTCATTTACCCAGTCATGAGCCAGACCTTCACAGGCAATGTGGGCTCAAGGATCAGACATCTGCCAAGGGCATGGAACCTATTTGTATTTCACTAGTTGTAGGCACACCACAACACCACCACCACATCCTAGAGTCTGGGCCTGCAGGAGATCCAAAGCAGGCAGGCAGGGATTATGGAGAGCACCAAAAAGTACCAGGAAGCACCTCCAGGCAACACAGAATGGTTTGGGTTGGAAGGGACCTTAAAGCTCACCCAGTTCCACCCCCTGCCATGGGCAGGACACCACAGACCAGGTTGCTCCAAGCCCCGTCTAACCTGACCTTGGACAATTCCAGGGATCCAGGGGCAGCCACAGCTTCTCTGGGCAACCTGTGCCAGGGCCTCCCCATCCTCACAGGGAAGAATTTCTTCCTGACATCTAATCTAAATTTCTCCTCTTTTAGTCACCTGTCTCTGTAAAAAGCCAGTCTCCCTCTTTTTTATAATCCCCTTTAAGTACTGCAAGGTCACAGGGCTGCAGATCCAAACTGGGCTCCTACCCCAGCTGTTGATTCAGCCCAACACAAAGGATTGCTCTTGGATGAGGCTTAAAGTAGTTGTCTCATGAAGAAGGGAAAAAAACATCATCTGCAAGATCTGTGGCCCCAGCCCAAAGCTGTACAGAAGCTCCCAGGGGAAGGAAAGGTCACCACAAGCCTCTCCCTGCTGCTGAAAGAGCCAGAGACATTTCCTCAGCCTCTTCTCCAAATGCACAGGACTTGAACAAACACAAACACAAATTCCTCTGTGCTCTTGCTAAAAGACAGCAAAAATAAAAATAATCCCATCAGTTACTGAAGTGCTGGCTTGTATGTAGCTGATGAAATGCACACAAAGATGATTTTCTGGTGGCAAGAAGCAAGAATGAGATCATCTGGAAAACAGAACATGAATATTCTGACAAAATCCTCAAACTTCAGCACAGCAACAGTTTGGAAAGGTTTATCCTTGGGCAACAGAAGTGCACTTCTGCCATCAGAGCAGTTCAGAGGAAAAAATAATAATATAAGAAACATCTCCTTTTCACTCCCATTGCTTATTGTGAAGACACTGAAGATGCAGCTAAACCACACAGGTCATTTATAGCAGATCCCAATTAATCCTCAGGCTTACCACATCTGTAGCCAGTTCAAAGCTGCCCTTTTAGAAGGGGCTGATGCCAACAGCAAACTGCAAGAAGCCCCTGGCTCCATGGCTCTGGACATGCTCGGGGCACAGAGAACAGCAAGACCCCTCTGTGCACAGAAGACCTGTGAGCACCCTCCAACCCAGCCCCCCTCTCAGCTGCTCATTTTCACTCATTAGTGCTTCAATCTTTGACACAAGTGACTTCCATACAAAACCAAGTGCTTCCTCTGGATGTCATCTGACTGCTCACAATCTCCTCCTCCTTCCCAAGGGAGACTCCCCAGCCTGATAGTCCCTTCCAAAACTGTCCACATCCAACTCCACATATTGCAATTGTGCAATCCCAACAGTGTTAATCCCCCAAGGACCTTCCAGTCACTTTTTATATTTATAGTCTGAACCACATGTGACACACTGAATAAACAACATGCAAACAAAATTTAGAACCGACTGTGCCAAAGGATTTCAAGCCAAGCAAACCCTTGCTGAGCACACAGGTGCTGCTCAGGAGCCACCTGCCATCCTGGAATGCAGAGGTGCATTTCCTGCTCCGTTATGAGCTGGGAATGACTGACTCTGGGAAGGAGTAAGTTTATATCAAGCCAAATTCACCCAAATGTTGTTTAACATCTCTGTTCCCTCATATTAGCAGTTGTTCCCCATCCCTCTGGGGTTTAGATATGAACCACTTAGACAGGTTTCTGACCATGTATCTTATAATTTGTCAGTGTTAGAGAATCATTTGATTAATAGTGAGTGATGGTCACAGCAGCACAGGACACTTCTGCCCCATGGTACCATGGTGGCCAGGCTGCTCCCATTTTCCATAAGCCTCCACCATTTCAGCTCCTTAATTCTAATGACAGCTTGTTCTTTTCCCATCTGCCACCTCCCTCTCCCTGTTCTAGGGGAGAAATCAGACACCAACAGCAGAACATACTCTGCCCTTTAGCTTTCAGCAGCACCTAAAGAGACTTATATCTATATATATGATATATATATCATACCATATATAGATATGAAATAAACTGGGACATCACTTATTTCCAAACTACATATTTTATATATATATTCATACTCACATACACTTACACATTTACACTTACACATTTAAATGAAAAAAGGTATAAACCTTATTTCTGGAAAGATAAGTTCTGAATGGAATGGTATTTTAAAGAGGAAAATTACTGCTGAATAAAAAGGCACACAAGTCTTTTTAAAAGAAAAGTGACACTTCTGCTATTTAGGTGGTCAGCTGGAAAAGCCTTCACATACAGATTCCCAATGGGAAATGCCTATGTCAGTGTTGTCCATCTGACATGAAAAACCTCCAGAAATTAACACAGGGATTGTACCAACCACCTCAACAGAGATCCTCCTGATCCCCACGCTCGGTTCAGATTCAGACATTGTCACAACAGACCACACACGGGCCAGAACAGGCAGTCGGTTTTGACTCCATCCCGAGCTGCTTTTGCCACAAATGACGGCCGCTGGCTCTGCAGTGCAGGATCTGTCTTTGCACGCCCAGAAGAGGGGCTGCACCACACAAGGGCGGTCCCGTGGGAAGCCGGGCGAAAGCCCCGGGTGCCCTCCCTGCCCGTCACCCGCTCCCCCCGCAGCGCCGCGGGCCGGGTCCCCTGCTCACCTTGCTGCTGCAGTTTGTAGTCCGTGGAGTACGCCTTGCCTATGATGTTCCACACGGGCCTCAGGCACCCGAAGAGCCCCTCGAGGAAGCCGCCGCTGCCGCTGCCCGACCTGTTGAACTGCACCTTGACATCGTCCCCCGCGCCGTGGCTGTCCCCGTCCCCCGCGCCCCGGGGGCCCTGCGGGACGGGCGTGTCGGGCTCGTCCTGCTCCCGCAGCTGCAGGACGCTGTTCTCGAACTGGTCCCGGGAGTCCTCGCTGATGCTGGTGAGCACGGCCGCCGTGACCGGGCTGCTCACGCCCTCCAGCAGCTCCGCCGGCAGCAAACCCTTGTCCCGCACGTCCTCGATGAGCTCGGGGGACGGGTGGGTCCCGGCGGGAGGGTGCTCGTCGGGGAACCGACCCAAGTCTTTGTCCTCACAGAAAGCTTTGCCCATGGAGTTCGGGGAGGAAGACAGGCCCAGGCGCTCCTGAGTGCTGGCCATGATGCTGTGAGTGTGCATCAAGGAGATGGGCCGAGCTGGGGCTTAGAGAATTTGTGCAACACAACTCAGATGCAACACGTGGACCCAGTACCTGAAAGGAGAGGAAAAAGAACAACTTTCAAATTTTTATTTAAGTATTTTCACTTCGTGCGCTTTCACTGAGGCGAGCTGATAATTAACTAGACTTTCCAGACAACTGCTGATACTTGGTAAATAATTACTGCCCTAAAAGAAACAAATAAATAATTCCAACAGAAACTCCACTCAGGCAGTAGTCTCGGTAACCTACTGCAGGAATTGCCTGGTAAACAAACACCACAAGTTTTAAACAAGAGCCTAAAGGTCAAAATCATGAAAGACTCTTTGCGGAAGAGTTACTATAGCATTTATCTGACTGAAGCTGGCCCTGGGGGTTTCCCAGCTCAGGTATGGGTTGAATCCAGTCTCTGTTTCTGGTCTGGCACAGCCCACAAGCTCAGGATTCCTCTGCAAACCCTCGAGACAAGACATTAGAGAAACAAAGCCCAGTGATAAAGGTACTTGAGCCCACCCAGTGATGGTTTGTAGCCGCTCCCTCTGAGCCCCACCTACTTATGACCATCCTGGACCTTTAGTTTAATCCTTTCAAGTTCAGTGTGGCAAAGATACTGTTCAATTCTCTAATCACATACATGTCACCCTCATAAACAAGTACGACTCAGAGTTCACAGCAGACCCTCCTTGCTGATCTCCCTCCTTCCACAAGAGCATCTCCTCCCACTGCCCTCTGCTTTTCCCTGCAGGAGCTCCTGGTAGGGTGCACATAAATTCAGAGCTGGGATCCCTTTTAAGAAGTCCCCTCATCTCTTGCTATGAGCTCCACTGAGGGACCCTTTTCCTACAACCCCTTCTGTTACCTTCCCACAGAGCCAGGTCCACAGCCAGGGGTCAGGCTGCCAGAGCTGCCAACCGCCAAAACACTTTTTTGGGACAGAGTCACTTCACAGAATATTCTGAGCTGGAAGGGACCCATAAGGATCATCAAGTCCAATTCCTAAGTGAATGGCCCATACAGTGATTGAACCCACTTCTGAAACAAGAGGCTCTAACTTTGTGCCAAAAGTAATTAAGTTCATTCATCCCATAACACAGAACAAAGTCCGGTTTTAAATTCCATAAGAAGCTGAGAGGTGGAAAAAAAATAAACGGCATTAGCAAAGTATTTTGTTCAGAAGTAAGATCAGTTACACTGTGAGCAAAGTCCCGGGCTCTGCAAACAGCCACTGAAAAGAAGAAAGAGGTGGCCAGGTAGGACACAGCCAATGGAAAGGGAACAGCTCAGACCTGTAACTCCTCAAGATGAGGTCATTGCAGAGAGGAGAGATAAGACCTTCAGCCTGTGGGATGAAAAGCTCATGCCCTGGGCTTCAGTCCCTCCCCAGCAGAGGAAGCAGCAAAAGAGAACAGCCAAGAGCCTGGATTACATTCCTCTACTTCTTCCCGATCACATGGATTAATAAAGCATTAAAGCTTTATTAGAAGGATGTTATTTAGGCTGCAGACTTTGTCTTTAAAAGAAAACAAAACAGCAGGTGAGGCAAATGTTGCAGCACAGCCCAGACAGTACAGGAGCTGAATGAGACTCGTACTGGAAGCTGGAGAGTTGGTTATTCCTGACCTACCTCTGACCAGCATTACAAGGACTGACTCCTCGGCGTGGGAAGCTGCAGTGTGACCTCAACAGTACAATTACTACCAGCAGTAGTGGTTCTGTCATCACAGATTTTGTTGCTGATGAGAAAAAGTTTCAGACCTGAACAGAATTTCAGAAAAACACCAAGCCAGGCCCAACTAAGTGTTTCTGGGCACTGCTCCTGCTCACCTCCAACATTCTGAGAGAAAGAAGTGATTCTTTAAACAAAAGCAAAATGTGACCAGTGTTCCTACAGAGAATGTTTGTAACTTTGGGTGACACAGAACACTAAGCAATGTAAATAAAACATCAGTCAGTTTTTCCTGTAAGAAATATGAAAGTAAGGGCAGAATTTGAGGTAACAGTGTCCCCATAGTATCTCAAATCTAAGCCATGGGAAGTGCATAAAGGATTAAATCAGACTTGGAGGATAAAATCATTTTGCTATTACCTGACTCTCAGAGTACACTAGTACAAGCTTAAGTTTTTGCTTTTACCTTTCTATGCAGTTTTCTGACTCTGGAATTTTGGTTCAACAGGGAAAGAACAGTTTTTCACAACACAGCTTAGACATGGCTGCAATAGCCCAGCCAAGAACAAACCCCTGGACTGAGGGACATCAAATCTGTTTTCCCAGATAAAATTGCTTTCTCCAACCCTGAGACATTTCAAATAAAAAAAGTCTTTAAGCACAGTGCTCTGCCATCTTACATGCCCCTGGATGGAGAGAGGAGGCAGGCAAAGGTCACAGAAGTATTTTCAAATTGGTATGATACAGCCTTATTTAGGCCCTTACATAAGCAGCCTGATTTTCAGAGGTATAGCAAACTCATTGTTTGGAGAGCATAAGACAGCAGCACTTATTTTAAAACAACTTCATATCAAGCCAATGTGAAGCAAAATGGTCCAGAAACCCTGGTGGGGGTAGCAGGCAGTTTCTGCCATGACACATCAGTGCCAACTTGTTGGGGAAATGAATTTTTTTAATTCTCTCCCATTACAGTAAATTCTGCAATGTGCAACCTCTTGCTTTAGCAAAATTTGATTCAACACAAATAAATTGGGTTGTCTTCAGCCTCACCACCTCTTCACAGAAAGGAAGAAGAGCATTTTTCAAGGTTTATCATCATGCCTCCTCCATTCTTTCGGTCAGAGCACCAAAAGGCTGAGATTTTTCATGTTGAACTCTTCCCAATAAAAGAAATCTAAGTTTCATTCAAGGCAAAGAAAAATGTTTTCTTGAAAGTTTGAAGTTTCATTATATCCAGACTGTTTGCCATGTTTTCATAAGGGCACACAGCGACAGGACAAGGGGGAATGGCTTCCCCCTGCCAAAGGTCAGGGTGAGATGGGATATTGGGAAGGAATTGTTCCCTGTGAGGGTGGTGAGGCCCTGGCAGAGGTTGCCCAGAGAAGCTGTGGCTGCCCCTGGATCCCTGGAAGTGCCAAGGCCAGGTTGGACGGGCTTGGAGCAACCTGGGCTAGTGGAAGGTGTCCCTGCCCATGGCAGGGGTGGCACTGGATGGGCTTTAAGGTCCCTTCCAACCCAAACCATTCCATGATTCCATGATTATGATCTGCATGTGCCTCCTTAACTTTGCCAGGGAAGGGCAGAGCCAAGGGCTGTGCTGTTTCCATCTCAGCCATGCTCCTGCTGTAGCAGCCTTCCAGTCACAAGCTGGAAGCTCTGTGTGTGGGAGGACTGTGCATATTTAAGAGACTCTGATTTCACAAAGTGCTGCTGCACACACAGACTTCAAGGCAGACCCTCTGATTTGAACTGTTCTGATGAGTTCATGCACTCTGCACTGACAAATTATCTTACACGTGGAAGGAGATTTGAGGATCAGTGTAATTTTCTATGATCACAACTTCCCGTAAATGGTTCCATTTCCAGGCAAAGTACTTTTTCCAGGCAAAACCCACCATGCTCAGACAAAAGGAGCAGGAAGAGCATCTCTTCTGGGAAGAGTGAGGTTGCACCTCAGCATGTCAGGCAGCTCAAAACACAGTTTAAAACTATCAGAAAAGTGAGAGTTTACCCAAATCACTGAGTGGATCAATAAGCTATCACAAGGCCTGCTCTCACCTTGCCTGATACAGCGTCTGCCCCTGGAAACAGCCATCCAGAAAGTGTCCTAGGATGCACCCAGAGCCACCAAAACACGTGGCTGCCTACACAAGCCCAATATTTGTAAAAGTGTCAAGGCAATGGCCAGGTTTGCAGACACAGCTGAGTTAACCCAATGCCCTGAATGGGCTGTAACTGAAGTTTCTCCTTTAAAGTTTCTCCTTCAAAGAGCTGTGCTAAAAATTGAGTGGCAAATCACCATTCCTGATACAGCACAGAGACAAAAAGTTACTGTGCTGGAAAGGTGGTGTAAGTACAGAGTGTCCTAACAGCCCAAACCTCCAGTAACACTGAGTTAGTTTCCCTGCAGCACTATTTCCGTATTACCCAGCAAAGCACATTCTCTGCCTGCACTTTCAATATGCAAAGGGAATAAAAGCAACTGTCTGATCCAAGTTTAAAGTCTGTAAAAGAGCAGCTGGCAGAAACCAGCTGGCTGAGCCATGGAACTACCAAGGACAGAGATTCCTGTTCATATCACTATTTACATCCAGGCCCTGGAGTTCCTTGCTTTTTCCTGGTACTCAGTGAGATTTCCTTCTGGCTACTGTGGGTACAAGGTAACTACACATTTCCTCACTGATAACATGACTGGAATTGGAAATGTGTATCACCTCCACTTGGGACAATGCCTTAAAATGCCTAAAAATCTAACAAAATCCACAAAAAATATGTTTATAAATCATAGTCATCCTGTTACACATCTCCCAGCTGGGTTCTCCTGCCCCTTCTGACTCTCTCTTAGTTTCTACAGGGAATTTTTACAACAGGTTGATGCACAGTCCTCTCCCATCTCTGTACAACTCCAGCACAGGAACACACAGAGCTGCTGAGCTGGCAAATCCCAGAGCTTTGCCTGTCACTTCTGACCTTTGGGGTTTGAATCACGTCATTTCATTACACAGGATTCCAACAAAGTTTTTCTCTTTCCCACCAGTCTCCTGGTGAGGAAAATGCTGTATGAGTGGATCAGATATTCCTCTTCTGCCACACTTTTTCCATCACTTGGAATATATGCTTGTGTTTTGCACGGTTGTTTTGAAAACAAAAAGTAAAAGATTTATTAATAGAGAATGAGTTACACATCACCAGAAGGCAACCTCTTTGTTTTCAGGGGGGCTGGATTTTTTTTTCAAGTTACATTATTACATTAATTAATTACATTACATTTTATAAGTTACATTATCTGTTTTTTAAGGTTAAAAAAACCAAAAAATTACACTATGAAGCTTGCCCACAGTAACTCAGTGCAGACCAGGCCACGCTATGGGCAAACCTCTAAGCCAAC